TTTAGATTGACAGGAAGCAGGTTTAGTCCATACCGGGTAGCTGTCGCGTGCCATCACACGCACCTGTGATTGATACTCGCATTTAACTGATTTAAGTGACGGGTTTCAAGAACTCTATTGTGCTGTAGGAGTAAAATGTTACGCTGGTCTGAACATTCATTCGTTTTGGGGCAAATTGTCTTACAAAGAACTAAAACTTTTAATGTAGCGTCGATATTAATTTTACTCAGGGTTTCCCGAAATACCTAAGACAGATTATTTTATCCGCATCTTGGTTATTTCGTTCGCACGCTAGTCGCTGCTCCGCCATCCATGCATGTTGCAGTTTGCCGCTAGTACAAGTTTAATTTACGACGCCGAGTTTCGCTTAACGTATCTTTGGAATCTTTGACCGACAAAAAACGATCTATCAAGAAATAACAAGGCTGATGTGGCGGTCACGGCCAAGTGCTCTCTATAGAGGCTTATCTTCGTGAGTGCGAGTCACCCGACATGCTTGAACGTTTCTATACTCGCGTTTAACGTCGATTTACTTAAACTATTTGAAAGAAAAAAACACAGTAACCCAACTACTGAGAATGTGAAGAAGCTGTTTTACGGTCAACAGGGAAAAAACGGAAAAACAAATGGCGATCTTAATAACAGACTAGACGAAGCTATGCAGGAGCATATGTTCAGTCCTAAAATGCCTTGCAAATTACGGACCAGGCAATAAGTCCAGCAGCTATCTCAATCAATCGTCAGTTATGGAAAGATCGGGTTCCAAAGGCCGGATCCCTTGTGAATCAAGTCACGAAAAATTCAAGAATCGGCAACAGGCCATGGGCCTATATCTTACATGCCGACACTTCTATTCTATATGTGAAACTTTCAAAGACTTCGATGCGAGCAAATACGTTTCTAGGGGTCAGATTGTTTTCCAATCGCTTCATGCTTAATAACCTCAGATGTGAAGAGCAAAAAATTGTATTGAGGTGGTAGCACTAATGAATATTCATCGTAATGATATAGTAGCGTTAAATATGATGAAATCTCGCTGCAATCACTCACTATTGCACTATTATGTGTGACTTTTTTATTTTATAAATGAAGATTCAATAAAACTTAATTTGATAGACTTGATTAAATCATAAGCACCAAGATTCCAGATCTTCTTATATAGCTTATAATAGTGTTGTATTAGTTGAATGAGATAATACACATATGACGGGATGCTTATTCCGTGGTATATTTTTTTTGTTCACTTGTATGTTCAGTAAGGTCGTCAGTTTTGTGATACGGCTCGTACCCGTATCCTTGCTGTCCACTCCTGTAAGGTCGTCAGTTTTGTGGTGCGGCTCGTACCCGTACCCTTGCTGTCCGCCCCTGTAAACTCGTCAGTTTTGTGATACGGCTCGTACCCGTATCCTTGCTGTCCACTCCTGTAAGGTCTTCAGTTTTGTGGTGCGGCTCGTACCCGTATCCTTGCTGTCCGCTTTTGTGGTCCTCAGTGGTTTATTAGGATTTTTCAACGTTGTATCCCTGAGGCTGAGACTCTGTTCCCCGGAGCTTTTGGACATAATAAATTGTGTGCCTTGTATAAAGGAATTGTGTATCGCCGAAGATCACCAATATATTAAGAAAAGTTCCTCGTGCTTATTCCTCCTCTCTCCAAACGCAAGGGAATTTAGAGCCGGACCAAAGAGCGACTCTTTAGCCCTTGTGTTAAAACCAATACGTAAGTCACCGTCAAGTCGGCACGCTACTCATAATTATTTCAACTTCGCGGCGGTGTTTCCGGTCACACACATTATCTTCATTTAAATTTGTTGACCATATTATTATAGTCTTTTTAAGAATTTGGATTCCTGTAGATTGCAAAATTTACACTAGTGCCATTGTTTTAACCAATTGAATTTTTTAGGCGTACAAACTGATTGTAGATTTTATGTATGTACCAAACTAGTGTTTTAATTACCTAAGTTTCATTAGCAAAAAGCCGCCATTAGGCAAGTCCTAAGCTTACGAACCGGTGTCTCATCGGGTGTGGCCGTGGGTGGGTCCAGGACTCATCATCCTGCACTCCTTTTAGGACTCTTCTATCCTACAACTTTTTCAAGGTCACAAGCTTGTCGCCAGCAATGCATCTTAACAAGTTCAGGCTTATAATCGCTGGCCAATGGTTACCCACAGTCGGCCACTTATGCTCATCCTTTAATTGCGATAATTTCCAGTTCACAAGGCTGGCAACTGCGGCCTTGATAAAAGGATTAAAAATGCATGTCCCTTGAGCCGGATCAAAACATCGACTTCAATTAGGCGCCGTTGAAAAAAAATTTGCTCATCAATAACAAGCTTTCTGACCTTGTAGATACTGTCCTGTTCTGCAACATTCCTGAGGATACAATCGCAAGATAATGATATAATTATTAATATAATAAGGATAGGTTTTGTTGAATGAGGTTTCTAAAAAATGTAAAAGATTGGTTATTCATTAGATATTATACTATTGATTCGCTTATTAGATTGGAGGTTAAACCGCCGGATGTGGATCGAGCTTGTTGCTGAAATTCCAAATGCAATCGAAAAAAATTCCGAGTCCGGGCCTGAAAAATATCCCTCAAATCTGTTATGATTTATAAACTTATAATAAACATGCAGATCATCGTTACATCAGGTTACCCTGTATGATATATACGTACAAATATTAAATTTATCAATTATCAGAATTTTTTTAGCAAATTGAGGATAGAAGATCATTATTTTCAACTCCCGCGGCTGCCTTGTAGGCTGCCTTGGCATTTCTGTGACGGTATCAAATGACAGGAATAAGCTTCAGGCCTTGCCTTGAATGTTATGGATGCGCGTCACACTTTCCTCCTACGCTTGTCTGCGTAACAGAGCGTTCAACAGAGCGGAACGGGTTACCATTTACTGTAAAATTAACTGCCATTGCCTGGAATTTTTTCAGGAACATTATAGACTGTGAGGAAGTCTTGCAAGGTCGCAATTTCCTTTCATTTGCGATGCGTATTTAACGCGTGAAAATTCATTTTACCCTGGGAGGTAAACCCGACAAATATGAAATATAATGTACAGCTAATTTACGATTACATTAAATGTAAAATTTAATAACACGCCTCATAGCTTAAACTCGGACGATTTGATTTTCAAGGTCGCATTTACTTGGTTTAAGATAAAATAATAAAATCATGTTTCACTGATTATTTTTTTATGCAAGTAGACAAAAATTTGGCTTCAGAAATTCAATTAAAATGTTACACAATCAAGATATATAGTTTTCAGCTCCTAAATATAGCGGAAAATCCGCATCGACATTCAATCATACTAAATAACTCTGCATACAGATAATGCTAATCATTAACTCCAATAATAATGCAATTAATCAAGATAACGGACAAAATGAGCACCTTCATAAGTCGCAGTTACTTGCCCAACACACTAATTTAAATCTGTAGTACCTTATATAGTGTATCGGCCGAATGAAGTGTATGTACGTCTGAATCAAGGCACCGTTACTTGTAGGGCAACATGGGGCAGCGCACCCCCCCCTTTTTTTAAACTAAATTTTTGATGAAGTTTTAATTGATACGAGGTGGTTCTTTATTTTGTTTAAAGGTACAACTAATGAGGAATGTATGATGTGAATTAGACGCCTATTGAATTATTCAATTTTTAATGAAACACTATTTTGTAAAAAGTGTCAAAATGGGCCCATTGCCCCACCCCTGGGGCAATGGGCCCATGGGCTTGGGGCAAGGCGCCCACCTTTGGACCCTTTACCACAATTGCATATTTTTCGTTTAAAAATGATAATACAACACTTTAGAGTTAAAAATAAGAAAAATGTAATAAAAAATATGTCATTCATTCATTTATTAACAACTCAAAAAATAATATCCTTAGCTTGAAAAAATATACTCTTGGCTTAAAAAATCTATCACTGACGTGAAGAAAAATATTTCGTTGACATAAAAATGTATATCCTTGACTTGAAAAATATATCCTTGCAATAAAAAATTCGTACTTGACATGAAAAAATGTATCCTTGACTAGAAAAATATATTTAATTGATCAGAGAAAAACTTCGTTCCAGTTTCGTCCATAATCCCGATATTATGTGCAGAAAATTCGTACCTAATCGTGATTTCAGCCAACACCATAAAAACTCATCAACTTTTGGCTCATTGGTGTTGAATGAAATCAACTTTTGGCAAGGCAATAGTCAATAACTCGATAAGGGGTCATAAATACGCATAACTAGAAACCAAACCTGCTGCCTTGAGGCGTCAAATCAAAAAATCATGCAATATGAAGTGTAATTTGTAATTCAAAAAGCTAGTCATAGTTTTGAAAACATTGAGACAAATCTAATGATGTGTAACACAAGACTTCACCATGGGCGCTTTGCCCCGTGACACGCGTGGGCCCGTTGCCCCCACTAGGTATCATTTCAATTTATATCGTGTCAACATTTTATTTTAAAAGCTAATAGTCTAAACTTGATCTGAAAATTATCCCTATAAATATTACTTTCGAAATATAATTCACAGTAATTTCAAAAGCTTCATCTACAGTAATCGAAAAAAATTTATTTAGCAGCAAAAAAATTTTTATCTGGACTAAAACAGTTATTCACAAATAACTTAATAACGCAAACACTTAGCAAAACGTAAATCCGTACACTTCATCCCAGTGAAACTGTCGACCGGCGGTAGAGAACACGGACCAATATCTGCCATACTTAGCGAGAAACCCGCTATGGGACCATGACCCGCAGTGGGCTCGCTGCCCCATGTTACCCTACTAATCAGTAGCACCCTAAAGTTTAATTAATCAGACGAACGAACATACGTTCGTATCAAGGCACCGTTACATGTACTAATCAGTAGCACCTTAAAGTGTAATTAATCAAACAAACAATCATACGTTAATATCAAGGCACCGTTACTAGTCTAACAGACCAACAGGCAGACGTGCGCATCAGCATGTGCGCCTAAATGCTGCGGTCGAGGTCTCTACGCACATTTCCTGCGTATAGCGCTCACTGCACTCGACGACAACATGAATCTTCTCGGAGAAAAATACGTCCTCTGTGGTGGACTGACTTACAATAATGGCTGAGAAATAGAGATAAATGTATCAGGCTTGCAACTCAAATTTTTAATTTCGATGAATAAAAATTATTTTATTCGTATTTTATTTTATGTGTGAATTGGATTTAAAAATTAGTGAGCGAGTTTCCCAAGATAAATGAAACATTTTAGCTTCTTTCTCAATCAAACAAGATAAATTTGAGCAATTTTTTCCAGTGATTGTTTTTATGTGCAATTTTGAAATTTTTTCCTGTTGTGAGTGGAAAGTACAAAGCTTTCATAGTAAGAGGAGGCAAATTTCGAGCGCAGGAAACAGAACATATAGAGCGGCAGCCATACGCCGTCACCGCGAGGTGCTGTGCCGCACTTTCGAATTCAAATGAAAGTGAACCTAAGGGCAGCGGGCAACCTGAGGGCAACGCGCAACCTGAGGGCAATGAGGGCAGCGCGCAACCTGAGGGCAACGCGCAACCTGAGGGCAGCGCACAACCTGAGGGCAACGCGCAACCTGAAGGCAGCGCACAACTTGAGGGCAGCGCACAACCTGAGGGCAACGCGCAACCTGAGGGCAACGAGCAACCTGAGGGCAACGCGCAACCTGAGGGCAGCGCACAACTTGAGGGTAACCTGTGGTTGGTCGATATGGCCGTACTGACCTCGGGAAGAACCAATCTGTTAATTAAATATCATTTAATTTGCGTTAGCAGAACAAAGTTCCGCGCCGCCTAAATGGGGAAGAAAAACTATTTAATGATTTAAAAACAGTATAATATTTATTTTATTTCAACGCTGTCGTGAATTAAGACAACAAATGATGTAAGACATATACACTGAACATATACACTTAAACCCTGTTCTTGTGTCACAAAATAGACTTAATAGGAGAGCATAAAAAATAATGAAGTACGGAAGAAATCAATCATATCTATGTAAAATTTTAATTCGTAATTGTGGAATGGCTAAATCAAATGATTTATATCCGAGTAATGTTTGACGTAGTGTATGCTAGGACGTGAAATGACCCCAAAGTTTTAACAAGCGACTTAATCTATATGCAATATAATATTGTATACCGCTCAGTTTTAATTCATCAAAGTCATAATTCGACAATCGCGGAGTCATGAACTGAACTTTACTCTTTAGGCAGCCTTCATTTTTTTGTTTAATCTCATTCAGTATTCAGGAATTGACCGTCCGGCATCAACTTGTATACATGAACGCAGACTAAACAATCATTGAAAAAATCATTTAGGAAAACTTTTAATCTTTTAGCTTTGACTCGCTAGATAGAGACAAAGTATTGAATAAAATGTAACTTTATTTCGATAAGTAGTTTGGTCAGGTGACCTTGTGATGCTTGGTCAGGCATAAATAATGACCGCAGTCAAATTGTAGTGAGAATAAAATTTGTTTGCCGGCATCAATTTCTTATATTGATGGATCATGGGTGGATGTCTGGGTGACATTGTTACGCTATACATCGTGATGCATGATATCGTCCCTACTGCCAACCTATGCTTCTGAATGATTAAATTTATGAATAATTTCGGACAATATATTGATCGAAATTTGCTCTATAAGGGGAAAAAATTCCGCATATGCTACCCGAAATAGGATAGAGTTATTAAAAAATGTGCTTCCATTGCCCATAAAATACCACCAAACATACTGTGAAACATAGTTTCCTTCATTATTATGGACAACATGTGTTGTGCTATCTGTTGTGCCAATTATGGAGAACAGGTGTTGAGAATAATACTTTTAATATTATCTGTTGTGCTTGTTATGGACAACAAATGTTGACAATAATAATTTTAATATTATCTGTTGAGTTAATTATGATCAACATGCGCTTTCAACAATGATATGCTCCGGGACGATGGCAAGGCTGAAGATGCCATCACAAATGCCAAGGCTTCGGCCATTTTTGTGGCGTACATGGTCAGGATCTCTCTCATCGTGTAAAAAAATTAGAGCATTTCATAGAAAAATGCACCCGAGCGAGTGGTTGGAGACAATCAATTAATGTTTCTTAAAAAAAACGCGCGTGGTCGGCATTGTGATTTTGAGAAGATTTTGGATATTTAATTACTGAAAAAGTTTCATGCTGTGAATTAATGCAGTTTGAACTAATCAACAAAGTTTGATTATAATTATGAATAACATAAACTTATAAAACATAAACTGTTGCTCGTATTAAAAATGAGTCGAGGTCAAACTTATCATAAATTGAACCCTGGATGAAACGCACAAGGAAGACGGGCTGCAAACTGCTGACACTTCATGACCTTCACTTGTAGGCTTAATATTAGGCTCTGCGGTAGCACGTGTTTCCGTAATTAACAGTTACGTTAATAAATAAAAAATAATGTTGTTCATCGCGCGTAATGTCGGTTGTGATCTCTCATTTTAACAAACGCGCTCAAATTGATGATCACCGGATCAAGAGTCACAGGAAGAACCTAAGAACTGGCAGATGGTGTTGATATTAATGGAGTTTTTTTTACACCTGAGTGGCTTTTTGTACGAATTTGAACTAACTGAGCCTTGGTCAAACGTTCGTTTATACTTGTATATGATTCATCTTATGGTTATAGTTCACATTTAAGCCATGAGGTCTCGACGAGAAGGTTAGAGTTGACAGAGAAGAGTTTGGCAACGTAGAGACAACATCGCACGGTCGTTTGCACATCGTGTTTGTTGCGCCATCCTCTTCGATGGCCGGAACGCTCGCTTCGATTTGAAAAAATTACGCTTCGATATAAAATTTTCAAACTTTTTTACTAAATCTTAATTTTCCCTGTTATTTAGGTTTGAGCGCAATTGCAAGAAGTGTAGGGGTAATTCAAGCATCTTCACCGGAGCTGCATACTTGATTAAACCTTAAAACTGAATGACTCGTTAAGCATAGATAGCGACTTACTGGACAATCAGCATGCCAAGTTTTAAATAAAATGACATTTGGGACTGCGAAAGTCATCTCCGAGCTAATTTTTTTACACGATCTTAATCAATTTGGAAAGCAATGAGCTAACTTTAAAGCAACATTCATCGATTTCTGCATTTTTTTGTGAATGCGCTTAAAAATAAAGATTACGGCGATATTCATTATTATCACAAAATCACAAAAATTACTGGTGTTAAATCTCTGTTAACTAGTAACTTTATGAGCCATCTTCAGATCAACACGATCAATCGCTCATGTCCATTAGGTCAATTTTCTCAATTCACTTCATACTTGCGCTTTTCATCCCTTCCCATCTCTGCGCATACACCTTCATCCCGTCTCTGCGCATACCCCTTGAGCCCGTCTTTGTGCATACCCCTACATCCCATCTCTGCGCATACCCCTTCACCCCGTCTTTGTGCATACCCCTACATCCCATCTCTGCACATACCCCTTCATGCCATCTCTGTACATACCCCTTAATCCAATCCCGTGTGTGAGCATCCAGATTTATCCCTTCTCTGCATGCGCATACCTCTTCATCCCGTCTCTGCACATACCCCTTATCCCGTCTCATTGCATACCTCTTCATCCCGTCTCTGCGCATACCTCTTAATCCCGTCCCTGTACATACCCCTTCATCCTGTCTCTGCACATCCATATTCATCCCTTCTCCGAGCTTCCCTATTCAAGCAACAACGTTCCGTTTGTTTGGAACATTTTTCAGGGGTACACTTTCAATTGCGCTACGGCAGCCATGGACGTGTTGCGTCAGGCACGCAGAACCAACTTATTTATATAAGAGAAATATCTTTGTAGCGCCATGCATGCGAGCAGAATTATCGCTTTCTATATCATTCATGCGTGGAACAATACACGTTAATGCCGGCACTCGTGCGAGCGAGCGCTTTCTGCATCGAAGAACTTTATTTCCACACTAAATGATAACAGTTGTTATCTATATGTTGAGGGTGATACATTTACATCTTAAAGCTGCTATGTATTTAAATTTATTACAAAATAACTGCTTTTGATTTAATTTTTACGTTTATCACTGAATAGCTTTAGTTTCAATGAAACTTGCAGAGCATTAAGGAGAAGCAATAATTGAATAGAAAATATAATTATCATGAATGCACATTATCACATTCAGGAACATTTTAGAAACCGTCGACTATCAACTTTCGGAGTCACCTGACACCGCTAATAATTTTTATTCTCATTAACTTACATCATATAATTTTTAATATGTTGACTATAATATCACCCATCACCTATTTATTGTTGGTTGAAATTATATTAACCCCCAATCAGTATTTTTGCTTATCTTCGATATTAGTGCATTTTGCTAATTATTTTATTTCTTCGAGTTCGTCCGTCCCACTGCATATACAGCATCGTTATTGACCACAGCGCGCAAATTGTTCATTTAAAACATTTTCCATGTATCCTGCTTAAGCGTCGACATAGCATTTAATAAGTGAACATAAATGCTGGCATCATTTGCATAACCTGAAAATAATATTTCAAAGAAACACTGAATATGATAACGTTTTCAATAATTTAATATCCGTTTACTATATATCAACACTTGAAAGAGGTCAGCTTGTCCAACAAACTCGTGGTATCGGCGCCTTTAACAATTAACGGAATCATATAACTTCGCAACCTGGAGCGTCGTGAAGGGTTAACTACAGACATCACGACGTGACCTAAACTCCCCGGAAAACTTCCATTCAAAAGCTCAAAATTGAAATTTGTTTTAATATTTGTTGATGGATCTTTCCCCAGAGTATTTGAGTAAGCGGGAAACTCGAGTTGTCCTAGATTGGTAGCCCTACCTGCCAGTCATTGACAATACCTAATATAGTTTGACCAAATACCTAAGGAGGTATAAATACAAAGGTTTAGATCGGTAACAATGATCGAAGACAACGGCCCTTAACAATGTGGTATTATTTCACATACAAAACTGCTGAGTCATGCCAGCCTCATAATATCTGTCGTTTTCCCGAGGCATCCAAGCGCAATAATGTAACGTGCACAAGTGACGCATTTAAGTACGAGATTTTTGTCATTATTTTGGTACATAAATTATTGCTTGATTCGTGATAATTACTGGTACAGGCCATGCGTGGCTCTGACCTCAGCTATTTGAGATGCTGTAAAAATATTCAGGCTTCAGTACCTCGCTTAATTGATGGCAACCGGTGAAAGGAAGTTGACCACTTTGTTGTAAAGCCTTTGTTCTTGCGTGGCTGTCCGACGAGTCAGACGACTTCACCTCGATTATGCCCATGCCAAGTAAAACTTGCCTATGCAACTGCCAGTAAAACTTGCCTGTGCAACTGCCAGTAAAACTTGCCTGTGCAACTGCCAGTAAAACTTGCCTGTGCAACTGCCAGTAAAACTTGCCTGTGCAACTGCCAGCAAAACTTGCCTGTGCAACTGCCAGTAAAACTTGACAAGTAAAATTGAAACTTTTGCTAAGCTCCGAAAGTACGAGCACGCGAATCATGAAGAAGTTCCAACACCGGCCTAATATCAGAAATAAAACGTTTGTCCTTTAATGGTCAGAAAAATTAAATTACGAAAACAGTGAACGGAATCTTCAATTTTCTTAACAGCACTGACAATGACTCGGTGTTTTCATTGCACTTATTGTCGAATTTAATCCTGCTTTTAAAAATCGTTCGCGTCA